GTGCTTGATTTGGAAAAAGAAATCAAGCATCCACTTCTTTTTTTGGCACAAAGAACAAACAAAGCAAAAAAAAAAAATCATCTTTGCGAACAAGGCAGACAAAGAGCCAATCCACCCTCCCTTGTATTCAGGGAGACCTCTTCAGCTGATTTCAATAAAAGCGAGATTGATTCATGTTTCACCTGCTAGCCAGCTTTGCAAAGCACAGTTTGTGAAATAAGCGGCTTACATAACTGTGTATTTTCAGCACTACATACATAAATGCTTCCTCTATCCTGTATAAGGTATTTTTGGATCTGCTAAAACGCTACTGTGTCCTTCCAGGGCTTTGCATTCTTCTGCTCAGAAATTGCATAATCTGATGCCATAGGAAATAAGTGATGTTGCATAATGATTCTCATATTCACTGCAGGATTTTGGTACTATGTGTTTCTGTTGCAAAGCAGCCCTTCCCTGTGTTCTGAATTGAGGTCCTCAGTTTTGAAGAAAGGATAATCTATCAGCCACCTGCCTTTGGAGGGTAGGGGTAACAAACCAAGGACCATCTTGTACCATACTGTTACAAGAATTTCACTTCACAAAAGTCGGTTTAACTTTGTATGCCCATTTGCTACTTCTGTTTTCCCTCACTCTTGTTGTTTGCATGTCTTGAGCTATGTGCATACATTAAACACCAGAAGTTTCATATACAATGTTCTGACGTCTAATTGACCATTGATACCCTCCGTCACAGGCTCAACAATACTATTATAAAACATTTAGCCGGTATAAAAGACAGACTAAACGCTGATTAGCCTTTTATACTACTGAATTACTATTGGAATCTGTCTTAGATCAAAATTTAGAAGTGACCTTAAGTTACACTCTTCTCTTTCATCTTTCCAGCTGTCTTCATAGTAGGAAACAACTTTTAAAACCCAGTCACAGACTTCAGGCTCTGCTCTACTCCTTTTCTCTCTTCATCTTTCAGAATTCTGCACTTTTTTGTTACCTCATTAAAGATCCATGTTATATTACTAAATAGCAATAACAGATTAAAGGATTTAAATTAAAATATTTTACAACTACAAAAACCAGGAAAAACTTAGAGTTAAGCTCACAGACACCTTACACCTTCTTTGACATTGCCACATGAAGCCATTAAAATGTTCGGTATTACCAACGAACAGTATCTTGTAATTTCCCTCACTTACAGAACTGAAATATATTTTCCTCCAAGGAGTAGTGTTAAGATTAATTAATGTCTGAAAGATCTTTGAGGATGAAGATCAATATCAAAGTGCTATTTTCAGGAATCCAGTGAATGAATCAAACTCTCACTTTAATTCATGTGAGGCATCAAGCTGGTCTCAGGTAAACTCACTCACACGCTTGTTCTTATTTTTGTAGTAGATATGAATTATTCAATATTTGCAAAGCACACTTGACACGTAAAAGCGATGCACACAAACTTCGCAGCATTAACAGCTTACATGCTTCATACCCAGTATTAAAGTAACTAAACAACTATCCATGAAAGTACAAAAATTACTGGGGTACGTGCAATGCTTTGGCCTCTATCAACAGTACACTAGGTACCAGAGCGTGTGCGCCTGATGGGAAGGGGAAGAGGACACTTGAAATCCAGCTGACAGACCTCTCAGATGAGAAATGACAGTAGTACTAAGTTGTATTTAGTAAGCAGCATAACATTTCTACGAGCAAAGAGGATTACTCCTTGATAGAGAAGCAAGCACAATGACTTGCTCAGGCGCCTCTATTAAGCCTGTATTACTGACACAGCGCAAGGGGTTAGAGCAACATTCGAGAGGTGTGATCCTATTCTTAGGCCACTACAGCTTTAAGTGAGGGTAACACGATCAAGACAGCATACACAACACACAGTCACGGACTGAAGAACCGTAGAGGACCCTCCGGAGGCCTGACATGGCATGTGCCATCTAACACCCTGCAGAGACCTTCCAAAGCAGCGCTCAGCCCCTTCGGTCATCCCTACTAGATCACTTTTTGGCTATGGTTGATAAACCAACATTTGAGAATCTCCTCAGGCACAAGGGATGGTGAGGTTAGATTTTTCGTGTTTCTGCAGAAAAGCCACAGCTGTACAGCTGCATTACTAATTTTGATGTGCTCCAGAAGACCCAAAGGTAACGGGGTAATGGATTGGGGACAGGAAAGGACAAACATCCTAGGAATGAAGAAAATATCCACATCGAGAGACCTCTATTCCTCAAGCCCACTGTGCCGGCAAAAGCCCAGCCTCCCACCCACACCTCACCAGGACTTTCTCCTTCCTTCCCTTACAACACCTCTCATGCTGAGCTAGTGCCTGCTCCAGAAGAAACAGCACAAACAATCACTGGTTCAGGAGGATTATAAAACCCAAGTACTTTACAAAGAAAAAAATCTATTCTTCACCCTGGCCCACACTCAGCTGTGGGCTAATGCCTCTGAACCCACTCCAACGACCGACTTTTCAGTTGAAGTTGTAAACAGGG